TTTGGGGGGGGGGGGGGGGGTTTAGGGTGTAGGGGTTTAGGGTTTAGGGGTTTAGGGGTTTAGGGTTGAGGGTTTAGAGGCTTAGGGTTTAGGGGTTTAGGGTTGAGGGTTTAGGGTTTAGAGGTTTAGAGGTTTAGTGAATTCTTCTTGGGGCTTTAGGGTTTCAGGGCGTTTAGGGTTTAGGGCTTAAGGGGTTTAGGGTTTTAGGCTTAGGGTTTAGGGGTTTAGGGTTGTAGGTTTAGGGTTTGGGGTCTCAGGGGTTTAAGGCTTTGGGTTTCAGGGCGTTAAGGTAAACCACCAAACCCTAAACCGTAAACCTGAGCCCCAAACCCTTGTAGGTCTTTTGGAGCTCCCTTCAAAAGGACCCCTACATAAGCTCTTCAGGCCCTTGAACCCTAAACCCTACCGGCCCTAGCAGTAGCCCTAAACCCTGAAACCCTAGACCCTAAAGCCCTTGGGAGGGCTTGGAGTTGAGGGTTTAGGGCTTAAGATTTAGGTCTTACGGTTTGGGGCCCAGGGTTTTAGGGTTTGGGGCTTTCGGGCTTTGGGTGTAGGGTTTTAGGGTTTAGGGCTTGGGGTTGAGGGTTTCGGGGTTTGGCCCCAAACGCAGAGCCCTAAACCCTAAGCCCTAAACCCTAAGCCCCAAACCCTCAACCCCAAGCCCTATACCCTAAAACCCTAAACCCAAAGCCCTAAACCCCAAAGCCCTAAACTCTAAACCCTAAGCCCTAAACCCTAAACCGTAAGCCTTAAACCCTAAGCCTTAAACCTTAAACCGTGAACCCTGAACCCTAAACCCCAAGCCCTAAACCCTAAGCCCGAGACCCTAAAACCCTAGCCCCTCAACCGCGAGAGCGTGTCAGGAGAGCAATTGGCTGCCTGCTCCCTGCGGCCTCTTCTACATGGTCACTTTAACAAAACCCAACCTTTAACCTTTCAGGGTTTATGGTTTAGGGGTCCTATAACTGATGTACCTTTAAACTTTCGGGGTTTAAAGGTTTAGTTTTAGGGGTCCTATAACTTATGTAGTAGTAATCTGAAAGTTTCACCCCTAAGCCCTAAACCCTAAAGCCATTCATTTCCCTGGCGTTTTTTGGGGCAAGCAAGGTCATGCGCCTCTATTTGCCGAATCCTGGGGCTGCTCGGAATGGGAACTTTGGGGTTTAATATAGGGGCCTTAATGATTCCCTTTCCCTTTTGGGGGCTCCTTGTTAGAATGATAGTACATGATAAGACACACCCAAAAGCCTATTCGAATTATGAAGGCCCCTGCGTTATAGGAATTCGGGGTTTAGGTCTTTTTGGGTTTAGGGGGTTTAGGGTGTA